CCCCCTCCTCAGTTTCGTGCTGGTACTCATTAGAGTTAAAAAAAATTATTTTTGACTCTAATCAAATTTTTTGGAACTTCTTGGCTTTAATTTCCCCGCGAAATGGTGTGGACTCAGCACCATTTCTACAGTATTCGGGACACTTCCTAGTGTTTTCTTCTTATATCGCCATAAATATATATGATTTAAATCGTCTCATGTCTGGTAATCCTTTTGATTTGAGTATGATGAGTAACGTATTTTGTGTTTGTGTGTTTGCAGACGGTGGTAGGGGGGAGATCCCGGGCTTGGCGAGGACTGGAATAATGGAAGGGGAGACGGGGCAGAAGGCGAACAACGTCAACTTCATCGTGGGCGACGACGGGCAGGATGGCGAGATCCCGAACGGGATCAACACCATCTCCGAGGAGGACGAGCGGGAGCGGAGGGAGAACAGGGACTCCTTCCCCTCCGGCAACGGGCCCACCGGAATCATCACCAGCAGCAGCTCCTACAAGGACATGTTCGGACTCGCCGAGAGGCGTAAACGACTCAGGTAAGACACACTTCTCAAAAATACAAAAATGCATCGCATACAGCAAAAAGGAACCAGCGCAATTTCAGTGTTGTCAGGGTATCTACATTCTACAATTCCGGAATTTTCGGAAAGTCCGGGCATAGTACTGATTTTTTAAGGGCGGACCGGAAGCACTGAAAAAGTGCGGAATTTTGCGAGAGGTCCGGAAGTACAGAAAAAATGCGGAATTTCGCGAGAGGTCCGGTAGGACTGAAAAAGTGCGGAATTTCGCGAGAAGGTCCGAAATTGTTGTCATTTTTGTCGCAATTCGAGCGAGAAGTTCAAATTTTTGAAAATTTTCGAATTTCGTCAATTGGAGGCACTGAAAAAGTACTGAATTTCTCGTATGAGGAGGTACTGAATTTCTTGGGAATGGACTGGAAAAGTACTACAAAAGTACTGATTTTTGGCCAGCCTGTTTTAGTAGACACCCTGGTTGTTAAAATGTTGCTTCTTCATAATCATCTAAAAAGCCCCCAAAATAGCAAATAGTGTTTGCATCTCACCAGAAAATTGTCAATTCTAATGGAAAGTAATTGGGTACATTTTAAGACTGTACATTTATGTATAATTTTTAAAGGGGGAAAAAGTTGCACGCTTTTGAAAACACTGTAATCACGCTGGTTCCTTTTTGCTAAATGCGATCCAGATCATTGCCGGAACAGCGGAACTACTGAGCTAGTCGGGGGCAGGGTTGCACGGATGAAATGAAAAATATGGATCATTGAAAATTTACGTGAAATATTTTATGAAATCTCACAAACTTTTGAAAAATATGAAACAATTTTCAGGGTCTGGGTCGGCAACACGCACTAAGGAACACCAAAAAGCAAAAACCAGTCGTTTCTCATTTAATTTCGCTTTTAATTTCGGAAAATATTTTTCACTACTTTTTTACTACTTTTCATACTTTTCTGAAATTTAAAAAAAGTATTTCACATGAATTTTCAAGATTTTATTTTTCATGGAAAATCTCAGGCAGAGCAGTTTGTCTTATTTGGAATTTCCAAATGAGCCAAACTGCTCTGCCTGAGAACCTTCAACTTAATTTCAGGATCAAGATTTCTCTGCAATTTTTTAACTTCTTAGAATTCGAGGTTTCCACCAATCAGCGTTCGTGAATAATTATTGTCAGATGCATGCAAAGTCTGCACTCAAAAAACCCTAAAACTGACTCACAGTCGTGTCCGACAATTATCTAGTTGAATGGCAAATAATTATAATTATATTTGAATGATCGATATCAACATCAAATCATTCCGCGCGACAATGATGTTTTTCTATCAGGCAACTATTCGAGCTCCGGGGCATGTTTGTTGCCTATCCGCCAGCATTGAAGGGGAACTACCAGTGGGCAATAACTAGTGATACGTTTACTTATTGCTTATTGGTTGAATCCCTCATTCGTTGAATCTAAGCAACAGTACACTCCAATCGGAATCTAGTGAATTTCTGCCAATGGAAAAATAAATAAGTGCAAGGAACATTGAGGGACGGTTACTGAGCATTAAAAAGTCACCCGAAACCCCAATTTGTGAAACGGAGTGATGAACTTTGAGTGTGCCTCGTGTCTGCACGCGCTATAGGGAAAATTAGACGTCTTGATGTCGTTAAATCCGCATAAATGCCACTTCTCACCTCTTGAAGTTCTAGCACCCTTATCGCAAGACCAATTCATATCAATGAGCATTGAATGACTTGCTATTAGAGTTATTGAGCCATTAATCAATCACAACGAGGATGACGCTTCCAGTTATTTTAAAAGTTGAAGTGAGATTTATGATACTATGATCAATTTATAAATCAGTTGAATTCTAATTAAGTTGTTACAGTATTTAGAAGTAAGAGAGCGAGTGAGTGGTTTTTCTAGTATCTGTTCTATAATTTCAATTTCAATTAAAGTGTGAACACGTTTTATAGTTTAGTAGAAGGCCCAGAGGCCCTTCTTTCTGAATTATATCATAGAAAGATTTTATTCTTCTTTTTTGTCAGTACTAAGCAGAAAAATATTGATAAGGAATTTGTTTCCTCTCGGAAGTTATAAGTATTCTCATGATTCTCTACAAAATTCTATTCAGACTTTGGTCATTCAGTGCTCATTGTTGAAATTAAATTTTATCGATCGTAAATTAATTATAGGTGTTGTGCATCTGCTGTTTAAAAAAATCGTCCTCCCTTAAAAAATCTACGGATGCTTTATTTATTCATTCCTTTTTTATTCTATCAATTAATTTTTCAATTTTCGGTATCTATGAAGCGCACGTGCAATACATGCATCTCAAGTAGTAAAAGCTCAAAATACCCGGCGCAAGTTTTCCTGCTTTCTCAGCTTTCTACGTCATTTCACGTGATCCTAGATCATCCGATTCCCGCCATCGAAACCGGCCAATCCCCATCTCAGACCGCATATCGTCGCTCCTCTGACGTAAGGGGGTATCTCAATTTCCGTATGAGCCCTAGGAAACATGAATTTATATGTGAAACAGGGCTCACGTGGAAATTAAGATTCGCTCTTACGTCAGAGGAGCGACGATATAATCCCGGGTATACTGTAATTTTCCAAACTAGTTACCATCCGCCTATGTTTCAAGTATCATTTCCTTGTGTGACTTATTTAGTCAATAGTGAAGGATCAGACCGATTTACAACTGGATTTTTCTAAAGTACGGAATTACTGTCAATGGGACTTAGGCTTCCGTTTTAATAGATTAATAAACTATGAGACGTAGTATTCTCAAAAGTTCTATATTATACGTCTAAATCAATATGGACCCAAGTCATCAAATGTCTGGATTAATGGATCAGTGGTAAGAATTAGACCTCCTAGAGACGTGTTTTCTCGTCAAAATTTCGCGCAGAACTTGGAACATATAAAAAACCTCCGAAATTACTTGTCCATGTAGTTAACAAAATGAAAAGTAAATCCGAACATCCCGCTTAAACGTAAAACGTAGGTTAAATCAGCCATTGAAATAACGGAAACGTTCGGCAAGTAACTGGATTTTTTTTTTCCTTACACATTTCCATTCTCTCCTAATTGCACCTCCAAATTTGTTAAAAAAAGTCACCTAACAGGATCTATTACTCATTGTAAAATATACAGAAATACAGAAATTAATGTAGTGCTTGATTTGACGTATCAGAAAGACTTCGGTTTTTTAAAAGCGGAAAATACAAATTGACGTTAATTAAAATCGCTAGTTTTTCACTCAATGAGATGGATTTTGAAAGTTTTAAAACATCAATCTTATTCTCCGTGAAGTTTCGTTATGGAAACTCATTATGTGGTGCAAAATTTCGTACCCTGTTTAGTAGTCCATCAGACCTATGATACTGGCTCCTAAATTTTCTTTTTTGATCACAGTTAGCTTTATCGTTCCACCGGGTCTTTTCCATAATTTTTGCGGCTATCAACAACTGATGGTCCCTAATTGAGCTCGCTCTATTCAGATCTTGGAAATATGACCCAGGTGATTTTATTTTACTTGATAAATTTGTGAATTCTCCCCATTGGACTACATTTTGCAAGTTGGAACTGCAATCTCTTACTCAGTTTAGAAACAACGCAGTACCATTTGTTTCCCCATGCACGTAAGTGATTTTATGGATGAGCCAGAAATGGTAGCTCTTAATTGCCAAATGTTGTCTATTTAAGCTTTTTTTTTTTTTTTTTTTTTTTTTTTTTTTTTTTTTTATGACGGATCGTTCTAACAGTCTCTCGGGTCGATCTTAATGATTTTTGCAGCGATAGATGCGACTAATGCGAGATAGCCCCTAGATGAGCCCGATCCATGAAGATCAACTCATAGGGGCCGCGTAGCGCCTTTTGGGGGTAAAGCCGAGTAGTGGCCAGGGGGCGTAGCCCTTGGTCTGTCACGCAAGGAAAGGTTCTTGTCCGGATCTGATAGTTCGAGAAGAATGAAGGTGAAGGACCCAAGTTATTCTGCTGCTATTCTCATTCACCACGATCGCTTAGAAACGCCTTCAGTTATAAGCCTATGCAATTTGATTTGCACCAGCTGGTGAAAAAGTTGCATACCTCGCTGTTTGTGGGCGCTTCATACGGCGTCATTGCTCGACGCGATTGTGGCTGCACGCTGCACCGCTGAACGGCACTGCTGTGCCAATAAAGAACGCCGTATGAGCCTGCAGAAGTTGCCGAATTTCCTTTGACAAATCACGAATTTTCAGGAAAATTTGCGAATATTTCTCTTCCTATTTTTCACAGGAATTTCGTCTGTATTTTGATCTTAAAAGTTGGCAAATTTCAAGGAAAAATATTCATAACTTTCTTCAAAAATAAACATTTTTAAAGAAGTAATTTGGTAACATTTGAATGCTTATGCGGCGTTTTACTTATGAGAGCAGATAACCGTGCATCGTCAAAGCAGTGTGTGCAGTGTAATTAGTGCTTTGGAAAATTTTGAACTGACGTTGTAGAAACATTGTTACTTTTTTTTAACCGAAATGGATGATAATGAAAAGTGGACCTTGAGACTGCACTCTCAGAAAGGAGGTAGAGCTTATTTAAATAGTTCTACTTTGTCATTGTCCGTTTCAGACTCGTTGCAAGATATGATACGATTGTTTCTTCTCTATGATGACTCTCGCTTCCTTTTTCCCGTTGTTTTCCAGATTCGTTCTGCAGTATAATTTGCAATGCAGTGACAAATTCAATGGTTTAAAATCTGGGAGTATCATCTTTGTGACAATGTAACCGTCTAATCTTTTTTGGTTTCAGTAATCTTTGGCACCCTTCTTCAGGGGAGGAAATTGTGTGAATTTTGTAAATTCAATTTCTTGTGCCAAGTCAATTGAACTTCATAAATTACTCACGCGTTTCAAAAATCTGTTCTGATGCGCTAAGAAAAACATTAATGACAAAAACAAATTCCTCCTCCGATCTTAACCAATCTCCCTGATCTGAATTATGCTCCATATTAAAATCACACAAGAAGTAAGTCCGATCAATCACTATC